ATGGTCGTGCAAGTTTATTTCGTCCTCCGTGATGGGACGTCTCGCTAATTTCGTCCACTCGGTTTTTTGACACCGTTTAACATTTCTCGGTTAGTTAATCAGACATATTGTATACGTATACTTGTCCCATTCGTCACGGATACTGTCATCCAGACAAGGTTACACAAATTGTGCATGTGATAAATTCGTTCCTTGTTTACATTAAATTAATTAAAGAATTCCATGATTCAGACACTTGTTTGAAACCTGACGCTGCAGACAGACAGCTCATGTTGTTTCTACGAATTTTGTAAACCAATCCAAAAACGTAAATTTGAGTAAGTCTCCTACTAAGTGATTTAATAAGTGTATGAATAATTGCGTTGGAAGTTCAACTTCAGATTGTATAATTCTCTTATCTAGAAACACACTGACGTCATGTGTAAAAGTATAAGGATTGATTTCTAGTCACTTTAAAAAAATTAAAAAGCGTTTGTTGATTTTCATCACACCTAAATTTCAGTAAACTGCGATATTGAGTTAACGATGACATTACATTTCTGTGTATTAATAATAATAATCACATTTAAATTCGATTGTAAGGTCCTTCCAAAGTAAATATTGAGCTAGTCTGCTTTATTTAAGATGTCTAGACTGTCTGTCGTAATGCTATATGTAGACATTACATATTAAAAAGAAAGAATTTGTTTATCTCATTTATCTAATACCTACCAATTGAAATGCATATTAAATAGAATTCCAATAAAGTTTCTCTTATGTCTACTTTATTAAAGTAATGTTAAGTAACATTACTATTTTTGCATTTGTTTCTTTAGTAATTTAATTAAATTAATAAATAATAATCGTAAATTAGAATTTTTATAAAATGTCCTTATAATGTTATGATAAACAATAATTTAAATTCAAAAGAAAAGAAAGAATATATCATGATTTCAAATTCGCCTCTAGGTGCGCCACTGGGTCTTTTGTTCGGAAAATCGTAGCCATTGGAATTAGATTAAAGTTCAGTCAGTCATTTTTTGTCAATTCCAATAACCTTGCTCTTTTTCGTGTGCCATTTTTAGTGAAGGTTCATAAAAATAATAGTGTTAAAAGTTTGCTCTTTGAGAAATATCTAAGACGACGACGAGTGAGTAAAACACAATTTATAAATTTTATTTTGATCTTATGTAGATGACAGTGGAACAGTTACGGTTATAAACTTTTTTTGTAAATATTATTTTTATTAATATATAATTAATTGTTTTACAATCGAACAAAATACAATCGAACTTCGATTTGCTCTAAACTAAGAGGTAAAACCTTTATTATACCATTTGTCATTTAGGTGTCTTAATATTCAGTGTTTCAAATTAAAAAAATGTATATAAAAATTTTTATTAAAAACTCCGTTGTATTTCAAGATCCAATCAAAATTTAACACATATCTCATACCAATACTTTCATATAATTTTGATTTAAAAAGTCAAAGTGTGAACGAAGGGTTGTAGCAATTGTTATTTCGCACTTTAGTGTGGGCAAAACTGTGGCTGAATCATATAATCTAGAAATAAAGTGAATTGAAATGCAAATTTCCGATTTTTTTCACCTCATTTTACGTTTAGAATAGACTAAAACATTGTTTTTCCACTACTAGCCTATAAGCCCACCATTATCGACCTATCTTTGACGCGTAAACTTCTATCTTTTTAACCTGGGTGAATAATGATGACCTTGATTGACCTTGACGCAGAACGTGGATGTTATGAAATACGTTTTTAATGGAGAGAAAATATCCAGAACATGTCAACAGGTAATTATCAGTATAAATTAAATTAATTGCAAATTTCTTTGTGCGAAATGTCAAATTAATCGAAAATTTATTTGTGTGAAATGTCACAAAGTTTGATTTCAAGCAAAAGAGTACCCACTTGATTCTTGTACATGATATCAGCGTTTTTAGAGTATTTATTCAAATTCCGTGAAACTGCATGTCAATTATTGAAACTAAGGTGTAGTAGCTAGTAGTGGAAAAAATACTGTATAAACCACGATAGAGAAGAGTGCCATTACTTATAGCTTCGATACCTAAAAATCCCTCGCTTGCAACTCGGTATTTTAATCTTGGTACCTCAGCTATAATGGCATACTTTTCTACCTTGGTGTATAATGTACTATTATTTAGTTATTATTAATAATTTTTCAAACATTTTTTTCATTAATAATTTTATTGTAACATGTATTTGTGAATCTTTATTGATAATATTGTTTAAATTAATATTTTTATACAAAGTGCAAAATAAACATCAATTAAAAGAAAAAGAACAAAAAATCACAACTTCAGAAAATGCCTATATTCGAGATACCAGAAAAATCGATATAATTTTATCGATATGGGGTACTTTTTTCTTAAAAATATAGACTTTGAACTTCAAAATCCTTTTTTTTACTTTTTCTCTAGCCATTATTTATAAAAAAAATACGAATTAAAAAAAATTTTACCCCAGTTTTGATATAAATACGTTGTTTTCGTTAACAAATAAAGAAGACATAAAGGATCAAAGTTGGCGAAATCCCAATTCGCACTAGTGTGAACTGTAAGGTGGTCCACCCCAAGTGTGACCTTTGAGGGTTAAGAATGCATTAAGCCCTAACTTAAGGGCCACGTCACACGTCCGTCGTGGTAACGTAAACATCTCGAAATTAACTCCATTAGTAAATCCAAGATGTTTTCACAAGACGGCTCGTGTTTTTCATATTTTTAGAAGACGGTGATTCCTGTTTAGGTTCGACCGTCTTATTTATCTTGATCATTATTTATTTTCCATTTGCGTTCGGGATATTTCGGAGCATATTCCTGATTTGTTGAAAAACGTAGGTGCTGGATGGTTTTGGCGTTGTAGTTATTTAGTTCTCGGATGTTTTCATGACCGTTTATTTCTATTTTTCTTAATCCTTTTCAGTCATCATAATGACAATAAACATACTTCTGTGCCTATTTTTCTGGGTTGCAACAATTTTGTTATCAGCAGGTAATAAATAATTTTATGAAATGTAGGACAAAAGACAAGTAAACTCGTTTGTTGATATTGTTTTATTTTTCTTACCCGTGGAATTATAGAATTAAATTTGCGCGTCTACTAACAAACGCTATGATTGTTCAAATAACACTCGTTTAAAGTCACTATAAAACCAGTTTTTTAAATAAAAAAATTGAACGTAGGAATATGTTTTTCCAACAAAGCGGAACAAAAAAAATTGTTGAGTGTGTAATTGGATATCATTTGTCAAAACTGTTGACAGACCAAGACGGCGTACTCTGCGGTAACGTGTATTGCCTAACATGTGCGTTTTGTCTAAAATCAACCTTCTAAGGACACCTAAAAGGCAGGGACGGTACAATACAATTTCCTGGGTCTGAATGAGATAATGCCTAGAGATGAATCTACTTACATAATCTCAACGTAATATATTACAATTTCGCAATTATGCACAAAACTTTTATGCAAATTAAAAATTGCAGGAAACGCTAAATTGCCCTGTTCTAGATATATTAATATGAATGATTTTTTCATGTCTATTTCCCGTGTCTGGTCGGATTTCGACACCGTCTCGCGCAAGCAATTTACCATTTAGGAAAGCGAATACGAGATAATATACAGGGTGGTCCTGTTTTCTTTTAATCAAATTTAAGGAACAGGCAGATTATCAAAAATAATAATTTTAATGCATTTTTAAATGAATCTTCATTGTTATCGTAGAAAACCACAAATGGCGAATGTCGTCATTAAAAAAATTGATATGCCATTGGACGCAGAAATACAAATATGACTATTTTTTAAAATATTTTCTTGTTTTCAATAGAAAATGGTCTTAATTTTTTCTGGTAAATCTAACAGTTGCTCAATAAAAAGCCTTCATTTAAAAAGTAATAAATAATAATGTTCAAAAGAAATTCTGAGAATATTTTACTTAACTTACTTAAAATGTAAAATGTACTGGTATGTAATGATAATATGAAAAAATATCTCGCATAAAATACATTGAACAAATTTTCGCACATTTCAAAATTATTTTAATTGTATAGGGTGTCCCATTTATTCTAGACGTTATTTTATTTATATGTTTCAATTGGAACGTGCTGTATATTATTGCATTTTTTAATTTTGATAAATATGTACGTTTTAAATGGAAATTTTCAGATTGACTGCAAAAAATATTTACTTTTTCGTTGCATTATCAGAGATTTTGAAAAAATATTTTTTATAATTTGTCAGCATTGTATCATTTTTTTTCCAAATGAAGGCGTCTTCATTTTATATAACTGCCACAATTAAGGAGCAAATAAATATAGAAAATATGCGTTTACTGCAAAAGAAACATTCTGCAAAATTTGAACTAATATGCAAAAAAAAATTAACCTTTAACACCCCGTAAAACTGTTTTGGGGAGATAAAAGGGGACCATAAAAAAAAGTTTCTAATATGTGACGCAAATAAATAAAAATTACTCAAACCATTTTACAATTTGCTAATAATAGTTAGTCAAAAAAGTTTTGGTCCTTTGTTACATTATGTATTCTCGATGTGTCCTTGTATTTTACTACTAAACTACCTCAATTATTTTGTTAATTTACCTGTACCTAAAATTTAATTAAAAAAAAATCGGGTCACCTTCTACATAGCCCTTCGAGGGGCAAACCGCTAGTTCAAATTTCATACACTAATTTGCATTTTGCATCTAATTTTCTTCATTTACTGAATTCTCTCATTACTACCGTTGCAATCCCACTAGACATGTGAAATACCTATTAATGTCTGTTAATAGTGTTAATATAATTAATAATTAATAGAGATACAGCGAAAATCTGTTTGTGCTGCTAAAGGCAGATTTACGCCAGGCGATATGTTGTCGCTAACATTGAAAAACTAGTTTTTAAAGGAATTTGAACATTTCAAAGATATTTCCTTGTTCTAAAACCAAATTCCGACCGGACTGACCCTGATTTTTATTTTTTTCAGATGCTGTCGGTTGTGAGTGCCGGCGCCGCGGCGGGGATGGGCGGCATGGATCGGTTGCGAGGGGGCAGAGCTGCCCGAGAGCTGGCGGCGACGAGAGACCGCCAAGTCAGACTGCACGCGGTGCACACCGACATCGCCATCAACCTGCCGCACAGCATCGCGATGCCCGACGGCGAGGAACACCCCTTCACCTCCTCCAGGCTGCACATACGGGACGCAGAGCAGGTACGGCGCAAAAAAAAAGAAAAAGAAATATGTTTAAAAACCTTGGAGACGTATTTGCATAGTAAATATGCAATAATACCCTTTATATGAAAAAAAAAGTAATAATCCCAAAAGTACCACATCGATTTGTAGTAGCTACTTTGATATTTTACGTAATTAAAGAGAGTAGAAAATTAACATTGCGAATAACTAGGCACCATTATTATTTTTAGGATTCGTCCTTTCCTCAGCTTAAAAGATTATTTGGCTATTAAAGATAATTGATACTAATACGGTTGAAACTGCAAGCGCGAATTAAATTTGCTACTGTGCGTACATAAGGCGTAATTGGTCTAGTGAATGTGTTAATTAGACGACCCGTAATGTTTTCTCAGACGGATCGTCAACTAATTACGAAAATTGTCCCATATAACATTTTTATGGGGCTGCGTCTGTCGTGAGTCTTGCTAACAACTTAATTTTCTAAACAGCTCGTTTAATAATAATCACTAGCAAGGCTAATTGGCATCATAAAATTTGCCCAACTGGAAAATCTCCATGGCTACCTAATTAATAAATTTCACGGTATTGTAATTAAAAAATTTCTACCAAAAGTTACATTAAATATATATTTCTTGCGGAGTCACAGAAAATTAAAATTCACAGATAAAACTGTCACCAGCAAATCAATGTCAGTCTAATATTTACTTATACGAAACCAGATATTTACTTATCTCTTTCTATTTGATGTCTACTCGATCATTTTGGGATCGTAATATCCAAGCCAAGCCGAAAAATATTTTTGTACTTGTTTTTTTCTAGTCTAAAGGTCTAAGTAAATGAAAATATTGGAACTGTAATCTTACTCAGATCCACTGATAACATTGCGGATAAATAACATTTAACATCTATCAGCTATGTGGAAACTTAAGTTTTCCTAAAATAAACACCTATTGTATGTATGAAGTGGGATTTATAATTACAAAAAAAAATAACAAGCTCCTGGCAGTTCCTACTTATTTGTAAACTAAAAAGTAGAAGGTGACACTCGTTGAGGGCAACAACCTTGTCTAATTGGTGGAATACAAACCAGTTAATATACCTAACTAAAAAAATGCACTGTAATAAGTAAAACCTCAGTACAAAAAAGTAGAGTTAAGTTTCTATATGAAGAAAATAAGAATAATAAAAGTACATCAACATAAAACAAACAACCTACTCGGCAGATCTTAAAATAGGCAAATAAAAAAGGAAATTATTGCAGTCTAATAAGTCCGGTTACTATAAAAGTGAAAATGTGAAAAGGAACTTGTATAAATTGAAAATTTTTTTAAATGTTTCTGTTACAAGAACAGTCAAACATATTAAGGAATGCTCAACATTATTGTTTACTGCCGATACATTTGGATTAAATGATTTCTTAGGATTCCAGTATACCTACCTAACCTACCTAAAGTTTGATATGTTTATTTTATTCTCACACAATTTTCAGACGTATTAAATGTAAAGATACTTATGTAACTTTCCTCATTAACAATTCTATTCTTTTAGCAGGAAGTTTCTTATCATGCTTATAATCGACTAGATCAAGACGGCTTGCACAGGTGTTTTTGATTTCGCCGATTATGTAACGGCTATTATGTTGCCAAACAGCCACCGACAAGTTTGTAATTCAAATACAATGCAAAAGAAAATTTTACATTTGTAAAATTGTATACAATTTGTGTACAAGTAAATTTATCTAGGATTTTATGTTATAACTGTTGCAGAACGTATATAACTTATCTAATAACACACAATGATAAAATTTTAGCCTTACCTTTTGTAGATATCTTTTCTAAATGGTCACCGATTTTTCACTACAGTATTAATGAATTAATGTCAGTACGTATTGTCCTTTCTTATTATTAAATACTCGCTAGAATTCACAAAAATATATCACAACGGTAATTATTCAAAAGGTTCACTAAAAACACTTATACCTACAGCAAATTTGCAACGCGCCCGTAAGTACACTACTGCTTTCAGTTGTTTCAACAACCTACATCGCTTCTCATCTCATCACAGATACTTTGATTTTGCCGATTATTTGAGCAGTCAGGGTAGTTTACATTATTTTTAAAAAATAATAGAGTTTTTGCATTAACATGGCTGTATGAGACGAAACAACGATTATCCCATAAATTTGATTCTATGGATGATTTAAAAAGTTCACAAGAGAAACACTACACTACGAAACGAGGCGGTTTTTCTTACCACTTCTGAAAATAAAAATGTCACTATTAGAGCCGATTTCTTTTGGTTTCAGTTTTCGGATCTAAACGCGTTTTGATCCCAAAATCACGTTCGTAGTTGTTTTCTTGTTTCCGGATCTTACCAGATTATGTGATCAGGATCGGTAATCCCCTTTCACCTATGAATCAAACTTTTTCTGTGATTCCAACTTTTGATCACGATCACATATTTAATATAACTTTAAAATTGTGGTGGTTTCTCCAAGAAGGCAGTTACTATTTTTATTTTAATTGTGCCCAGAAGAATAGGTATACATAAACGACATTTAAAATCAAATCAAATGTCAACAGTAAACAAAATCCTGTTTTCTTCGAAATCGGATTCAAGGATCTAGTTCGTGTTTGTCTGATCCTGATTCAATGATCATGATTCAAAATTAAGAACGAAAGAAAACGGCTTAGGTCACTACTACTATCGGTAATCTAGATAGATGGCGTTATTGGCGTTCGGTTACAGGTTATGTTACTAATGTTACCATCGATCTTGTAGTCCTAGATACTGCATAGGCCCAATTTGTTTTGTTCAAGGGGGGTATTTTAAGGTACTTTACTTTTGATTGGCTGCTTATTCGGGCATGCTCGACATTATTTGTTTACATCATAGATTCATAGAAAATATATTCTAATTAATGACTTATCTGTTTGTCTTGNACTTTAAAATTGTGGTGGTTTCTCCAAGAAGGCAGTTACTATTTTTATTTTAATTGTGCACAGAAGAATAGGTATACATAAACGACATTTAAAATCAAATCAAATGTCAACAGTAAACAAAATCCTGTTTTCTTCGAAATCGGATTCAAGGATCTAGTTCGTGTTTGTCTGATCCTGATTCAATGATCATGATTCAAAATTAAGAACGAAAGAAAACGGCTTAGGTCACTACTACTATCGGTAATCTAGATAGATGGCGTTATTGGCGTTCGGTTACAGGTTATGTTAGTAATGTTACAGTGACTATTATATATTTTGTGAGTGACTCTATACAACAGTACAAGAGTCACTGTAGGATATGTTAAAGTCTCTAGATAATCTAGATATATAAGTGACTAGGTTATGTAATGTATGAGTCCCATAGACCTAGTCCCTACGATATTCTTTGTAACCTACACTTAACTAGGACTAGGCTCGTCTTCTCCATCTAGAACTAGAAGATTGGGTTCAGAATTAGAGTTGGTTGCCTAATTATAATTTTAATTTTATAAACATTAACATTGTTAAGAATGCCAAAGTTAATTTTTAACAGTGACGGTGTAATAATAATAGTAATTTCGGTGGCTCCGAAATCATGATAGTAATGAATTACTTATTGTTGGTCTTTAGCGTAGAGCGAAACATATGACATTTTCTCTGTAAATAAAGTGTGGTTCTTATTATCATTTTGATATATATCAGATTATAAATTAAATCCAGTAAAATCGTAATTATACTTCACAACGAAACATTTAAGGGATATGAATTATTCCAGTTTTAAATCGTGTTAGAAAAAAAGTGTCAACAAGAGCCAGGTATCGTAATTTAATGTTACAAAATAACGTAACAAAAGCAGCATTGAAATATTGGTAAATTAGTCTAGTCTGAGCTACATCCTGTGCTGTATGTAATATTATTTATTACATGTGGAAAAAGCCAATACGAATTAACAATAACTGCTTGAGGTCAACATTCTATCAAGCAAGTGTATAAATCTGAATCAATCTGAAGTTCATTTAACAATCCCCTAGAAAAATCTTTATTTGAATATAGCTTTCATAAACTGGGAGGTTTTTGATAAATGTTTATTTTTACTAAATGAAGTAAACACTTTTTAAAAGCACAATTAATAGGTAAAAATAAAAAATTGTTTAGAATATCTTTGTTGTACACAGACGTTCCATTTTAAAAACTCCCCAGATCAATATTTCAAAAACAGAAAGAGATATCTAAGTTCTATAAAATACATATGTTAATTATAGCATTTTTGCAGTGAATTTTTAAAATACTGTGATTGACCTGTAGACTTTTTTTGATTCATCTACAAAGACTATATGTTACTTACTTTGCTCAGCTTCTGTTTGACATTATTTTTTGATATCTCATTTAGGTCGTTAAAAAAATTAAAATATATGTTGTGACGTCATTAAGCAAAATGAATAGGGTGTTTGCCTACAAATATTGATGACTTGTTTATACGTTATATGCTTACTAACACTTTTTAATTTTTCTAGGAATCTGAAATCTACCAGAAATGCATCCGACCACCACCCAATCGCACAGTATTGGAGAGCGAATCGCCACCACCCTACCGGTCCAGTTCGGCGGGTGTCCTAGCATCCTCATCGAGCTCCTCCAGCGGCAGCGACTGGTCGGCTGGCTCGGCGCCGCTGGTCGTCCGTTGCCATTCGATGTCCTCAACGTCCAAGCCGATATCCTCGAGTTCTCACCCAAACGCCACCAGCCAAAAGACTGATTTTTTACAAAGGACTGTTAAAATTTTTACCGGCAAAAAGACGCAGCACCACCAGCCGCCCCCTGCCCCCACGTTACCCGTGGTCGTCGTGCCGGCGACGTCCAGAAGTCGGAGGACGGACCCCAGCCGTCCGAAGCCGCCTCCGGGAGTCTGACCACACGTTCCCACTTAGTTGACATTAAATTTGTGAATTGATTACTTTAAAACAGATTCCATAACTCATTAAATTATATGTTGTACTGGATGGTCCAAAAAAATGCTTCCCGAGTTTTTTTTTGTACGACTCAGTGATTCATTCAACGACTATGAGGACGTTTAGCCTTTTATAAAATAATATATATTTATCAGTGAACTGGACACTTTTTTAATGTGGTTTACATGTGTATTATATCCAAGGAGAACTCTAAAGTAGTAATCCTAGGAAGAGGTGGGATATCCCGAACATGCGGTGCCAAATATAAGGAGTTTGTGTACTGTGTACATAGTTTTGTAAATGCAGGGCAACATCTTCAAACACACACCAAAACATAATATCTACGTATTTTCTAAAGCCGCAACTTTTACTCGTACTTTTTAAAGTCACACGCACCGGAACGACATCAAAAGTCAGTGTTTCAGGTGAATCCTTGTCACATATTTATGGTTAGACGAATTGAACTTTGGAGGAAAAATACTAGATGGCGACTCTCAAAAGCATATCTCTCACCCTTAAGGTTCACGCGAAAACATTTTTACAAAATCGCAAAAATTGGTATCGTAAGAAATTTTTAATAAAAGAAATTTTTAATAAATTCTGTTCTATGTTATCCTGCACCATCAATGAAGAAAATCTATTATATTAAACGTTTAATTTTCATTCAGTGTTAACATCTAGTTACTCTAGATTCTTTGCCTTTTCATTTGTTGCAATTAGAAAAGGATACAGCACATCCAGGGCATCTAGATCTTGACAGGCATTTTTTAGGAGTGTCGCCATCTATATTCTAGTCCCTAAATTTGACGAGTTGTCTGACTATAGATATATATGTACAAACAAAGACTAGACTCAAAATTTGTCAATAAGAGGTTGTGTCAAAATATTTTTTTACAAAATTGTTTTATCTAACTAAGAAATCAGTTTCATGTAGAATTCCTTTAATTTCCATGTCTATATCCACTTGATTTGCCTATTTTTGCAGTTAAATATCGTTGCTTATGTGGCCACTTTAAACACACGTAATTTTATTTTAATTTTTTTTTAATTGGTAAACATTTTGGTGTGGTTTTGAGGCGATTGCCCGGTATACTCGTAAACGGAAAACATATGATATTATTAAATCAAAATATATTTGGCGATAGGCCGCAACTTGCTACTATTGATATTCCAGTAACCTAAATTATAAACAATTGACAGTAGAACATTGTTCTGTTTTTAAATATTGTTTATTGAAGAAGAAAAATACAAAATGGGATATTAAGTGCAAAAAATGGAAGATGGAAGACTTGAATAAAGGACTTTTCTTTTTATGCTAAAAAAAGTGTTCATCTGTTAGTCAAACCGTGGTCAAACTAGCTCCAACTAATCATCACTTCTGTCTGTCTTCGTGTGACCCTCAAAAATAATTGCCTACTTCAAAAAGTACGTTATCTTTTTTGCAAAATAACTTTGTTGGTTTTCGTTTATCGTTTATTTTAAATTTTGAAAAATTCGGTAGTATGTTTCAAGCACCAGTACCAAAGAATATATGCTGTTAAAGAAAAAGTCACGGATATTAAAAGTATAACTTGTTTTTATTTCGATATAAGATATTGGGAATATGTGTTTGATACGTGAAAATGTAAAAAACTGTGCAACATACAAAAAATTAACAAAGCAGTGTATTACGTAAAGAATTTTGTTGCTATATTTTTTTTCATAGATTTATGTTTTACCGTTACAATGCATATTCCTAAGTTTGTTCATTGTTACCTGTATTCCATTTGTATAAAAAAAATTCTGTTTGGCACTCCTAAAAATATACCTTGTTCCATATTTAAAATAATTAAGCAATTCGTTATTTTGATTTGCAATCGGTTATCTTCCAAAATATGTATAAAGTAAAATTTGTTTAGTCTCCCAACTGTGAAAAGAATATGTAATTACAATTTGAAATTATCTACATCTAAAAAAAGTTTTGTAAACATGTCATAGACTTTTATCATTAATGACGATGTTTTTTGTTTATCGCTTTTAGTACGTTTTTTTTTTAATTTCTTGCCATGTCATTTAAGCACACATGAATATGATCACACAAATCCGGAGCTGACGATTGAACGCCTTGTGTTGAATTATTTGTGAAGCTCTTAATTTCTAAATATTTATTCAATACAAAAGATGTATTATTGACGATTCAGAAATCGGTGTTTTAGTAAAATCCAAGTTCTGAGTATAAATAGGTACACATTTTTTTTTTCGACTAGGTTTTGAGCTAAGAATCGCATCATGTACGTGTACTATAAGAATGAATAATTTTTTGGATCAGTATTCATCAAGTATTAATTTTTTGTAGATAGCGTGAAACTGTTCAGAGGTGAACTGATTTGTATGGGTAACTTTTTTTTATTAGGAGAAATTGTGACGTTTAAATCGTGTTCAGCAGTAGCTGCTGATACAAGTGCCAGTTCAGGTTTTAGGAAGTTCGAAGTGTTATTAATTTATTTTTGTTTTTTTTTTAACATATTTCGAAAAGAAATTCTTTCAATCTAGTCATTTTGATCAAGTTGTGATTGGTTTTGAGGGTGCGCACTTGAGCAAATAGATTATCTAGCAAATGTTAAATTATATAATTAAATATATTGCAAAAAATATTATATGGTAGACAGAACCGTATATCTAGTGGAACATAAGCATTATTGTGATGATAAGGTGCTTGGGATCATAATATGTGCATATAACTTGTAAACCAACAAAAGACAAACATATATTCCTATAAAAAGTTTATTTTTTGTATCGAGTAGAGTAGTTATTATTTATTTTCAGAGCATTTCCCAAAAACACCTATTTTCTAGTTGTAATTACTTCAGTGGTATATAATTTATTTTTTTTATTGCTAAGGTGCGACTTTACATTAACTATAATAAATTTGTCTTATCAATGATTTCGTGATGCTATTTTAGTTTGTTTTAGTCAAGATAGCTTAAAAAAGCGAATGCTTATTAAAATAAAGTCACGAACTACCTGTATCCTTTGATCCAATTTTATAAATTATGTATTATTTATTTTTTATTATATTTTTTGTATACTGTTCCATAATAATAATATGCAGCTTAATTATTTGCGAAACAGATCTGTCGTATTTGTTATTTTGTCAGTAAATCTTATTTATTATATATTTTTTTATTAGATCTGCCAAGATCTGTTTCCCAAATAATTAAACACTCTGTACATTTTATTCCCATAGATATCTATAGTAAATAGTTTTTTGCATATATGTATGAGGCCCAAGCCGAAAAAAGTCATAACAACAAGAAAATTGTGATTAAATTTTATTATTATAATAAATAACAAATTAATGAAAATGTTTTTGTATTAGTGAATTATTAAAACAACTTAAATTGTAAATTTCGTTTTTGTTTTACTCTTTGACTATAGTTTTCTATTCTGTTTAGAGGGACATCATATGTAATAATGTGATTTACTTATAAGTGAAAATCATACATGAAATAATAAATCACTTTCATTCACTTTGTTTTATTAACTATGGTGATGTGGCTCCACGAGCACCCAAGTGGAATCAAAACGGGCAAAATAAACAACAATACAAGCAAAAAAAAATATTTGTGAAAGTTACTTTTAACATCGAAACTTTATTTTTTGCACAAGAAGTGTCCCCATACGTAAAAATTGTGAAAGAAGTGCAGTTTCACTAAATACACCCTTTCCTAATGCTCACTTCAAATTTGTGTGAAAGTGGACCATTTTTTTTATTTAGTCCTACGATACAGGTAAGTTGTACCTGTTTTCTTACAAACCTATCTATGTTGTTGGTTATAGAACATTCCAAGAGTAGGTGCTCAGAGTAAACAGACTGTACACTATGCGAAATGAGTGGCCCTTTGCAATTTCCTTGCAAGTAAGCACTTGTAAAAATGGCTGTTTGATTTATTTCAGTTTACTGTTTTGAAACTCTGGTACCTACCTTATAAAATAAAAATAATAAACTGCTGATGATATTCTTAATATAAAAAAAATATATATTTTTTATTTTTTCTGTTTAAATTTGAAATTAATACTAGCATTTCACCTTTCAACCTTTATAATGTAGAAAAGTAAAAATTTTGTGAAAACAAAAACCTCTTCATATCTATCAATAAATATATACAGCAGGTCCCGTTTTTCAGGTTACCTCTGAAAATGTGAGAAGGCTGTGGACTTTACGCAAGCCAATTTTTTTACAAATAGTACCCTGAAGGGAGGTTATATTCTACTAATCATTTTATTGATGGAACAAAAGCCTGGCCTACTACGATTTTTTAAAGGGGTGTTTTTCCAGAAAGTGGCATTAGGCATTTTTTTTATCAAAAATAATTTACCACGCTATTCAACACTCGTCAAGATCCCCATATACCAAATTTCAACGACGAATGTCTATTAAGTGTCTTTTTATGTGGTGCCAAACTTCGAAAATTCAGACAACTAAAAATTATAATAAGCAGGTCACAGGTTGCCATGAAAGTGAAAACAAGTACCAGTCGGACAAAGAAAAAACAGACACTTTTAACTGCGGCCACAATAAAAATAATAATTAACATACAAAAAATGTAGGTAATAAATTATAAGTATTAAATTTTAGTTTTCTCAAACTATGGACTTTTACTTTTGGGGTTTTATAAAACAAAAAGCTTATAAAAACAGACCAAGGAATTTGGATGACCTAATGAATTACATAAGACAAGCTTGTGCAGTGATTACTCCACAACAGCTATGTAAATTATTTTTAAATTTGAGAAGAGGATTGGAAAAATATGTTCGATTGGAAGGAGGTTTGGTGGAGAAAACTGAAACTTAATTTAGATTAACGTTTTGCAATTTTTCTGTTTAAGAACTTAGTATTTATAATTCATTAAATTTTATTATTTTTTATAATTAATTAATAATAATAATGAATTAATATAATTAAAAGTTTTAAATTTATAGTGCCTTTCTTTGTCTAATTAGTACTTGTTTTCACTTTCATGGCAACCTTTGACCTGCTTATTATTATAATTTTTAGTCGTTTGATTTTTCGAAGTTTGGCACCACATAAAAAAACACTCCATAGACATTTGCCGTTCAAATTTTGTATATGGGTATTTTGATGGGTATTGAATAGCCTGGTAATATTATCTTTTTCGCGATCGGTAAAAGGGTTATGAAGTTATTAATTAAATTAGTTTTATTTTTGACAACTTTGAAGACCTGTAACTCAAAAACCAAAACCTTTTTATTTAACTTTTTGTTCGTAGATCGTATTTATTTATCGTCAAACGTTGTCGGTAAAATTTGAGGACACCCTGTATAGTCGAGTAAAGGTTGGCAATTTGAAAGCATTGAACTAGCTCTTTTATCTATGAAAAATGAATCTCGCCGTGCATTAGCATTATCGATTCTTGTAAAAAATACAGTATGCTTACAGATAGAGGAAGACTATTTTGTTTTTCACTTTACAGAGATGATTCTCGTTAAAAAATTCTGCTTTCTAGGCGTTTAAAAAAACGTAATACTTTCTATTGCATTCTACTTGTACCCACTAAGATGTGCGTTTTTCTCAAGGGAATAAAAACGTAAGTACAAACCAAGTGGGTGGGTATGACTGGATAAAAAACACGTTCATGGACAAATTCGAAGACTGTGATACCCTTCATCATCCGAGCCTTGTATTACATTTTACACTTCACAGGTCAAATAAATGACTGGGAAAAAATAATAGCCACCAAAACTTTAGTAGATCTTTTTATTGCAAATATAAAGCTACTATATAAAAATACAAAAATATAAATAAAATAAATTAGTTTTAGGACTAAAATAATCGCAAACCTTAGCAAAGAACTCTTCTTTATCTTTTATCCTTATATTTACAGGGTGTTTTGTAAAAAAGTGCTGCATGTTGAGAGGTGGAACATATTACTTTCAATTATGTTTGTATAAGTGGAACTTTATCGAAAATTGGTTTATAAATACCAGTTTCCAGATTTACCTTAACAAAGCTCCCGTCATTTTGTTTTCTACGTAAGTCCTCGCCTTAACATTTTCGTCTTTCTCCACCTCGTCGCACTTAAGGGGAAGGTGGTTGGGTTCCTTGCACTTCCGACAGGACTCCTTCATTAAGTACGGATTAAGACATCGGAAAATTTTGTCCGATCCGTTGAGGATGTTAGCAAGTCACAGAAGGGGCAGGATTCTAGTTCTTCTATACCAGCGGTCTTGATCTCTGCCACCTTCTGGGCCCACTTTGAAAACGTTTTGAGTGGTAGAACACTCTCACTTCATCTAGTGCCAACACTGCCCGATGCAGATCCTACCTATATCCGAAGGCAATGTGAACGGTATGCCAATGACAGCGATGGCTTAAAGGAATTTATCAATCGTGATCGAGAAACGAAAAATTATCCCACTTTAAAGGAGAATAGGAGGTAAACGCTCGAATGGTTATTAAGTTATAATTAACTCTTATTTGATTATTCCATGATAAAATTAATATGGAAATAAATTTCAAGAATTCTCTTTGACTAAGTGTTAAATCTTTCTTGTTTGTGTAATTTTCAGAAAACAGCAACTTTCTGCCCAACAAAGGGATTACACAACACGATTTAATGTAGAAAATTTTATAAATCTCTTCCCCGAACCAGAAAAAATCTTTGAAGATCCCGACAGGAGCATTAAGTTGGACTCGCGCTCAATGAACTACGCTAGCGCATTTTTTAGAAATAGGCACAATAATATCTCGGTAAAGACGATTCAAAAGGTACTGACCGAGAATAACTTTAAGGCTTTAATCTGTGACAAAGTCTTGAGCAGTTACGTTGAGCAAAATGCCACCATGAAAACTAAAAGAAAGCCTGTTCGGTTACACAAAAATTGTGATAACATCCCGCTGTTGCAAGAGATAATTTAAAATAAAATCTACTTTGATTAATTTTCTTTCTAATTTTTTTCGTAACGCTGGTCCTCGTTAAAATCTTCCGATTTCTGCTGTTCTTCGGCCACTATTATGTTTCTAATCCAAACTCTTTTTTTCAGTGGTAATGACGATACTTCTATGTTCCCACGTTGAACGGGATTGACCTAAACATTAATAGAAAAAGAAATATTCATTTAGGCAGTTTGTAATATACGTATACGAAAAGCGTGAAAAAAAGAAATCGGGATTAAAATATCTTCATGGGAGTACGAAAATAAAAGTAGCTGACAGCCTAGTTGGGGCAGGGGCGTTTAAAACGGGGTAAAATGTACCACTTATCGAGCGTGCAAGCTGTGTGCGGGAAATGCATATATCTCGATTACTCCTTCACCGATTTCGACTTGGAAAGTTTCCTATCATTGGTTCGGTTACCAATACATGTGTATAAATATATGTACTTATACAGGATGTCGCGCTTAATTGTGATACAAGCTTGTAGCTTCTTTATTTTTTGACTGATTTCAACTATTTTTTTTTTAGAATGTAGGATAAAAAAACTATCTAACTGTAACACTGCTGCTTTTATTAATGCAAATTTTTCCAAAAAACATATTACGTATTCTCATTTAGCATCCCTTAAAATGTCATATCACCAAGTTTCATCAAATTCGATACATATTCAGACGAGTACTAGTTTGCCGTGCATTGCTTTAATGAAAAAGCAGTAGTATCACAGTTAGATAGTTTTTTTACCCTATAAAAAATTTTTTGAAATCAACCAAAAAATAAAGAAGTTCAGGCTTGATTTTCTTTCACGACATCATGGAGTGCTCGCACAAAGATGTATTGAATTTGATGAAACTTTGGCAAGACGTTTTAAGGGATGCTGAATGAGAATACGTAATCTGTTTTTTGGAAAAAAAATCGCTAAAACCAATCAACTGTTTTAATGTCAAGAAAATACGCCCTAGTTGGCCGTAAATTGCATTAATAGAAACAGTACAGTTAGATAAAGTTTTTTTAGCCCACACTCCATAATAAAAATTTTTGAAATCGACCAAAAAAAAGAAGTTACAGGCTTGTATCACATTTAAGCACGACACCCTGTATATTTCATAAAAATTATGCATATTGTATAGGGAAATTGATGATTTTTCCATTGTACAATCATTTTCAAAACTTTACCAAAAATTATTAAGTAAAGAGCTATAATGATAGCGATATTCATGAAAATTAGAGTAACAGCGTTTTTTAAAACTTCGTACTATCTCTGTAAGTTTTTGTAAACATGTAAATTTTTCCCAACATTACCTTTATTTGAAATAATTTTTTTTTTTTTACTTATGAGGTTGACTTTTTATTTACCTTACTCAATTATTTTGCAAAATATTAAAATATTAAAAATAGGCTGTTCCCTGCTCCCCCAAAGGTCTAGAATATATTCTATGAGTTGCTGATATTAATCTGATCACGGGGCAATTTTCGTATTTACCCCCGCACCCCCAGCCCCCGCCCCACAAGGGTTGTCAGCAAACTCTGAAACCCTCTGAAACATACGACCAACACATTAAAAATAAAATTGGCCATTAATCCGATCACGGGGGATTTTGACACCAATCTCTTCGTCTACTAAATGGGGACTCAATCAAAATCCTTGTTGACCATTTTTATGCATGCAGTATGAAACATCAGGGTGAGATTTTATGGGAGTCACTATCTACCACTTTTTATTTATTAGTTTACAGCAAGAACAGTTATAATAGGAATTTTGCTTCTATAGAAAATAAATTAGGCAAGCAAATACTGTCTTAAAAAATTTTTTACATCTGTTGAAACGCAGTGGCGGTTCGGGACATTGAAAATAGGTGAAGCATATTCATCGATTGACTAAACAGAAAAAAAAAAATTGCTACAGCAAAAATTTTCTTTTCAAGGTCAAACGGCTTTAAATGAATCTGGAAATTTTTCATTGCATTTGCAACAGTACCGAAAAACTGACGTTCGCGAGAAGGATTTTTATTTAGATTTTATAAAAAATATAAGTTTTAGTTCGGCTCGTGGACTTCTAATGATCTGGTTTAATATTACTAAAAAATTAACTTTTAAAGTTCGTCGACATACTTTATTAACACCCAGTATACAGTATGATCCATTTCAAATCGTAAATAGCTCAGTATGTGACGGTTTTTAGGTCTGAATTTTTGACACATGCACCGATTGACGTGACATTTTAACAGTAAGTAGAAAATTACTCAAAAAACAAAAGTTACATAGTGTCGATGTGTGCTTTCACCTTCGAGGGTAGCAATGAAGGCACCCATTTTAACCGCAAAAATCAATAGAGGGATGAATTCTAAGCAAAAAATTCTCTATAAGGTTTTTTCCAAAAATTTATATTTTGCAATTGAAAATGTTGATTTTTCATCTAAAAAGTGCATGTTTTTCAACCATTTTTGATAAAAAAAAGTTTTTGAAATAACGAATCGGTTCATTTTTTGTTGATTACCGTAGATGTAATAATAACCGAGTTACCACTCTCTAAAGGTGATTGTTTATTTTTCGGAAGTAAAATTGAACCTTTTACCGTAAAAAAATGGCGAAACAACTAATTTTTCGAAGAAAATTAATATAATCTTTTTTAAAGTGCTTGGAAAGACCTTTAAAATGCTTTTTGAAAAAATTTCATAGCTCAAAAACTGGCGGAGTCATGATGAAAATAAAATGGTCATCTCATTTTTTCGGAGAAAAAATCAATAATAAAATCTCTGGCTGAACCATGAAAATAGAAACTAAGCGTAATCCATGTACAGTACAGTTGACTTTATTTAGGTACTAATAATAGGCTCTGCAAGTTTGACCAGTTTAGAATGCCTAAATTTTAAAAAAAATTGAAATAATGAAAAAAATATATTTAATTTTTAAAAAAATTTCCATTTTTTCGAAATAACTCAAAAACTAAACAAGATACGTGAAAAATGCAAGAGTTCAAAATTAAAGGACACTCTTTATAATATTTTTACTCTCTTTCAATTTTTCCTAGAGCAAAAATTAACTGAGATATTACATTTTTTAGTTTTTTAGTTCTTTGAGCCTTTAAAACTAAAAATCTCGAAAACGAAGAGTTCAAAACCCTTCAACTATATAGGTTGATTTGTAGCTCTTGCAATTCCCTGCAAATTGCTTTTTGGAGCGATGAAAAATATTAAAAATTAAAAAAGTTATCCAGAAAAAACGAATTGTATTATTCAGTGAAAATTGTTGGGCCGTGTAAATGACTTAACTTCCGATAGTTTCCGAGGCGTAATACACACACAAACACACACACGCACATGTCGAAACAGCGGAAGTCGACAGTGATGATAGTTCTTTAGATAATATGTAAATTTTTGATAATAAAGCATAATTCTACAGGGTGTTAAAAAAAGAGTGTAAAATATTTAAGGAGGTAATAGTATGAACCAAAATAAGCAGAAAAGTCTTAATAAACATGGGTCCGCAAAGTAACGGTTGCGGAGATATGGAATGTTTTATGTTTTTTAACCCCTTTTCCACATAGATGGATAGGAAGGGCCAGACCTGTTTTATGGCCTCCAAGATCGCCTGATCTGAACCCTCTAGATTTCTTTGTTTGGGGATATTTGAAGACATTAGTGTATGGTACTCCTGTAAATAGCCTGGAAGAGCTGCAGCTACGGATTAATCAAAAGTGTCAAGAAATCCAAACCAAGGAGGGTGTTTTCGAAAGAGTTCGAATAACGTTGAGACGAAGATGTCGTGCCTGCTTGGAAATGGACGGAGGGCACTTTGAGCATCTTCTGTAACTTTGTTTTTTGTTTGTTAAAAGCTTCCTTTGTCGGTTTATTTCTAATAAAATAAAATATTTGAAAAACGAATAGTGGTCCATATCTCCGCAACCGTTACTTTGCGGACCCATGTTTATTAAGACTTCTCTGCTTATTTTGGTTCATACTATTACCTCCTGAAATATTTTACACTCTTTTTTTAACACCCTGTATAATACGCAAATATTTTTTATTTTCCCTTTCACTAATTACATAATTTATGTTTCGAGTTTTAAGTAATCTCGTTGAATTTAGTTGATTTATCGTTGAGTGTTTTGAAGCAAGTAAAAATTCTTCAATTCCTCATTAAGGGTTGTTTTTAAGGGTTGAAACCCTTCATTCATTCATTCATTATTGCCCTGTCAAAACATTTCAGCCGCGAAAACTAATTTTTGTTTTTTTTCCTCATAAAGGGTGGATTTTAAGAGTTTGAATGTTGCTACAAATCCAAAATTATTATTCAAAACATAAAAGAATGCTTATTCTATTGACATAATACTTAAATCTATGGTTTTTACGTTTTCTGCAAGAAGGGGTAGTTTTCACCCCCTAAACACCATAAGCACACATTATGGATATGTAACTTTACTAAAAACTAAAAACTAAAAAAGGGTATTTACTGACCAATTTAACTTGGGTTTGGAGCTTAAAAAAGTATTAAATCACATATGATCCGAGTTACGTTTTATCAATGTAATTTGTACGAAATTTCGAGAAAAAATATTTGTTGTTCATTGTAAAATTAATAGTAAAAGTTTTACCAATTCCGTTCTTCCTGAACGGGGTAAGCAACCTATGGAATTGTAAATAAATTGAATAAATAAAATGTACTCTTAAAATTCCTTTCACCTCTTTCGTGCTCGTTCGAGATCGAGATCATTTGTCACCGGTTACATAAATAAATTAATAAAAGTAAATTAAACTCACTTGTTGGATCGGTTCTCTAATTTGTTATTCCTCGGGCACCTTCTTGGCCCTGTCCCTGTGATCATCATGCGCACAGTCGGGTCCATTTTTAGTTTCGACACATCTATTTCGGCCTTGGCGGCTACTGCAGCCTCTTCAATATTCGACTGTTTGTCTTCTTGTCCTCGCTGAACAACGGGCACCTATAAGCGAACTGTTATCATACACAAACTTTAAACAACATGTAACAGCTTACAGTTCGTACTTGTCGTTGCTCATCCATTTGAAATGGGAGTAATCCGTCACGGGCTCTCGGCAGAGATAGCACATGCTGGCCCCACATGGGCACGTCATCTTGTTACATCCCTCATCTTTGATGAAGTTGATTCCACAGTGCCAGCATTTTCTAAAACAATAATTACTTGTTTAATTTATATATTTTCATTTCTGTGCGATATCTTATTGCCATTCTTTTAATTTATGGGGTTTGACAATGCGTGCCATAGCTCCCAAGTGTGTATGTCGCATGTTGCTTTAAAATTTTTACGTTTACATGTTTCTTCAATAACATTTGCTTGATGCTTGTTATAAACGCACACTAAATGTGCTTTATTTTGTTTTGAATTAAAAAAAAATATATATATTTTTTTTATTGAATAAACGATTGGATAAAATTGAACGTATTAAGTGTACAAAAAAATAAAGAAGTGAAGCTTTATCGAAGTTTATAAATATCAGTTTCCAGATTTACCTTAACAAAGCTTCCGTCATTTTGTTTTCTATGTAAGTCCTCGCCTTAACATTTTCATCTTTCTCCACCTCTTCGCACTTAAGGGGAAGGTGGTTGGGTTCCTTGCACTTCCGACAGGACTCCTTCATGCAGTCCGGATTAAGGCATCGGAAAATTTTGTCCGATTCGTTGGGGATGTAAGCAAAGTCACAGAAGGGGCAGGATTCTAGTTCTTCTATACCAGCGGCCTTGATCTCTGCCACCGCCTTCTTCTGGGCCCACTTCGAAAACATTTTCGGTGGCAGAACACTCTGATGGAATACATAAAGAGAATTAGTAGTTTAACAAAATTAAAAATGTCCGTGCTTGATTTGTTTAATCTAGTCTAGTGTCAACACAGGTCCTGCTTTCATAATATTTGAAAAATTGCAGACTACTCTCTGCCAGTTTAACCGTTTAAAGGTCCAGGTGTCGAGTAGCAGTGACCATTCACAGATAAAGCACCGTTTTGTTTCTATTAGCAGAGAGCGAGCTATAGACCGATCGAAATAACTCATTTAGGGGGAAAAAAAAAGAAAATTGTTACCTGGACTTTTATAAGTGGAAATGGTAAAGAGGCTTATAACAAAAGAAAAAAAAATAAATGCATGTGCAGGGGCGGCGGAGGGTTGATTTGGGGGGGGTTGAAAAGTTATGAAAAATTGTATCATTGGGATTTTTCGCGAAAGTTGACGTCAAACAAAAAAATGTATCCAATACAAAAGTTGTAGATCATGCAAGGTCACCTATTAACATATCCTCAAAATTTACGAGAAGAATGAGAAAAACAGGTTTTTTCCTTATTTTTCGATTTTTATTTCTCATTTCCTCAAAAATAATCTAATTCTGACGAAACTTGGTGAAAGTATACCTTTCTGTATCTTAAACAACTACAAATTTTTTTAGATAAAAAAATCAAGACGTTTCCGAGATATTCATTTTTTTCGGTCTGAAACACTTTCTTCAAAGAAAAAATTCTACTTAGAAAAATCATCGTACAGAGTTCTGCCGGTGATCATTTTTTTCGATTTGACATATACTTTTTGGTGAAACAAAAAAAAATCTGTAATCACAGTTTAAAAACATAGCCAAAAATGCAAAAAATTAAAAAATGACTTGCAACATTAAATTTTTCAGTAATTTTCGATAATTTGTTTAAATTTAAAAAAAATCAAATACTGAAACACCATTCAATTGTATCGAAAAAGTACAAAAAAAAGTCGAATAGTGAATAAATAAAATAAATAATGTTTTTTTTCCATAGGAGCGATTAGTGTACTTATTATTTTTAAAATTTTTATGAATTCATAGATATACAGTGTGTCCAAGATAAGGATGGTATAGCATTAGGATCTAGGAAACGATAAGAGATACGGGGTGGCTCAGATTAGAAAAAAGTCGTGTGTTTTTATACCTAACAATATGACGGTTAGAAAGTTTTAATATTCCGGGTAGTTCCGGAGAAACCCGAAATGTTGCGAAATTGGTTCAATTTTTTCGGATTTATTTGAAAATAAATTACATATTTACAATACCACTTTTTTCGCCCTACACAATGGCGTCAACATTTTTGCAATCCGACGTTTCGTCTTTTTTTCCTGAGTACGGCTTTGGAACGCTTTCAAAATATCTATTGGAGGAAGTCATAACAGTATAAAAGACAATACCGCACAAAATATCCAATAATTTTTTTGTACTACTATTAGAAATACTAATTAGAAAAAAAAAAATAATAAAATATTTCATAAATTCATATTATTTTTTTATTAGGTACAACTTTTTAAATTATTGATTAAAAAAAATTGTTGGATATTTTGTACTGTATTAACTTTTACACTGTTATGACTTCCTCCAATAGATATTTTGAAAGCGTTCAGAGCCGTACTAAGGAAAAATGAAATTGAAATGATAAATTTATTTTAAAATTCGTCTTCAAATAAAGCCAGAAAAAAATAAAACGATTTTGCAAAATTTCGAGTTTTCGGATTTCGCGTCAACAGTAGATTTTGCAGTTAATACTTTGTATTGCTGAAATCTCAAATCGTCCAGAGATAATTTATCATTTGTGCATTTGTAATTCGACTTAAATGTTTATTAACAATACTGTACAAAAATAAAGTTTTGGGTCAAACAATGAAACAGTTTTTTTTTTGTTTTTTTCCGTAGAATTGAATGGAGTTTTTGAATGTTTTTTAATTTAAATAAATTATCAAAAATTACTGAAAAATTTATTGTTGCAAGTCATTTAAAATTTTTTTTGGCATTTTTGAGCATGTTTATGAACCGTGATTACAGATTTTTTTATTTCACCAGAAAGTATGTCAAAACGAAAAACGTGTTTGGGTCGAAAAAATTAATATCTCAGAAACTTCTTGATTTTTTTATCTAAAAAAAATTGTGGTTATTTAATACACAGAAAAGTATACTTTCACCAAGATTCGTTTAAATTATTTTTGCGGAAATGAGAAATAAAAAAATAAAAAATAAAAAATAAAAAACGAAAAATCAGAAAAAAAACTGTTTTTCGCATTTTTCTCAGAAATTTTGAGGTTATGTTAAAAAGTGACCTCTACAAACGTTGTAAATTTTTGCATGGTCTACAACTTTTGTATTGGATACTTTTTTGTTTGACGTCAACTTTTGCCAGAAATCCCAATGATACAATTTTTCATTCATTTCAACTTATCAACCCCCCAAATCAACCCTCCGCCGCTCCTGCTCACGCATTTATTTTTTTTAGGTTTATTATAAGCCTTTTTACCATTTCCACTTATAAAAGTCTAGGTAACAATTTTTTTTTCTTCAAGTG